AGAACAGTGGGGTGCACGCGGGGTCTGCTCGGAGCACCCGAGGGGACCCGGCTTTGCCTGGCAAGGTTTCCAGCACAGGCAATGGGGAAACTCCAGTTACACCACGGGGACACAAGTCACCAACCTCTCAACACTTGGGCAGCTGGTAGGTTTCAAAAGCTGGTAGGAGAGCTGGTCCTCTGGGCTGCTGCATGGAAACTTCACCCTGGAGCCTTCCTCCTCCTCCTGCCCCGGGAGCCCAGCCCAGCGCGCAGCTGGGTGCATCCCGGGGCTCCCTCCCCACATGGCTGCAGGGCTGCACAGAGCTGGGGGGGGTCTCTAAAGTACAACATAATTTTATTTAAAGCGTACAATTCTGTTGGATTTACACAAAGCAATAGACATAAAACATAAATCATGCTCTAAGGGGTTTTTGACAGAATACAAACAGCAGCTGAGGGCTGGTGAATAAGCCCAGCACAGACGAGAAGATAATGCAAGGTCATGGCACACATCAGTTGAAGTCTGCGTACCACCAGGAGTATTTTTAAATGGGAGAAACAAACATGGTTCAGATACTAAAAACACCTTTTTCTTTCCCTCTTTTTTTCCCCTCCTCTTCATTGTAATGTACTTGAATGTTAGCAAACATTAACCCCATTAATATCTGGGATGTAAAAAGCTCTTCTAGCTTTTCTCTGAAGACAAGGCCAATAAATCAGCTAATATTTAATCATTACAGGAGCTGCTTGAAAATTTCCCACACGGCTGCTCATTGACCAGCTTTTAAATATTTTGTTCCTTCAGGCAGCTGCTGGTACACTGAAGGGGCTGAATAAACGGAGCGTTTCTCCTTCCACGCTGCAGTAAAGCTTCAAAGAAACAGCAACAGAGCAGCAGAGACAGACACCCCCAAAAACACACCTGCCCTTGCCCGCTGACCGCGTTGGGCTACTCGAGCAGGGGGGCACGGGGGGTTAGTGCAGTGCGGACAGGCACCAGTCCATCTGCAAAAACTCTTTCCTGGGGCAGATGAGGACCCCTCACCGCTAACGAATAACCAGCTCCACCCCGGCATTTCCCAGCCCCCACCAGTGGGTTTGTACACACCCCACCCAAGAGCTGAGGCTGGGAGAAGCAGAGGTGTAAAATGGAATTTTGGGGGGTTTGGGGTGGTTTTTAGCTTTGCTGAAGGTAGGGTGGCCGTGGAGGGTCTCTGTTTGGCACAACACCAAGGGCCAAGGGCCAGGGGGGCTCAGGGACACTGGAGGCGCAGCAGAGGCAGGGAAGGAGGGCAGGTGACAATCCTTGTTCAGCTCAAAACAGGATCTCCATTGAGAAAAAAAAAAACAACATACAGCAGGGCCTGGCGGCTTGTGGGGCTCTGAGCTCAGACTCAGCACTGAAAGAACACTGGGGTTAGAACCAGATGGGTTTTCCTGCAGAGGAGGTGAGAAATGCTGCGATCCAGGCACGGCAGGGCAACGCGGGCGGCAATCATGC